ATCTAAGGATGACCAGCTGCACATTCGACATCCTGGATGATATTCTAGCATTTTGTTTTTCCCAGTGAACTATTCTAAAACTATTCCATCTCCGTTTTTAAAATTTATCAAAGAGCTAAATCGACACCACCGTTAGTTTTGTAGAGTCCAACATGACAAAACAACAAAAGGTGTCATCCATCAATTTTCTCCAAATCTATTGTAAATTTTCTCCAAGGATGTTCGATTATTCAACGGTTCGTGATCTACGGATCCGAGTAATTCTTTGGAAATTCTGAGAGTATCTCGTGCGATAAAAAAAATAAATAACATAAAAGTATAAAAAGTACACAGTATGCATTAAGATTAAGATTACCTACTTATCTCTGTACTTCATCTTTTGGAAGACATTGAAAATAGATTACCTAGGGACACGGTTCTGTGGTTGAAACTATACAGGGTGTCCGAGATCACCCGTTCGTCATTCAAATCTACTTCACTTTTAGGACCAAAGAGCAATTTTCGGAGGGAACACAGACGGGGTATCCGGCTTTTAGGATCATGAGCCCCCTTTTACCTACCGAGGGGAGCTAGGAGGGGTTCGAGACCATGAAATTCGGATTTATTGTGGTCGATCCCCTGTTCAACAGAGATCTCCAGGGTCTCTGACTTCGTGTGACCTAAAACGAAAGACAGAAGAAACGGGCTCGAGCGGTCTGGGACACCCTGTATGTGCTCTTACTAGTAATAATATGTAATTACTCTGTATCACTATTTTTTACTGTGCTACCAACAGGTATACCATCCTGTCAGAATCTATTATAATTTTAAAACTAAATTGACACCTAAACACATCGTTGTATACCAACATTTTTGAGAGATCTGCAAGATTAGTCCAAGCATGGCAAATATGCGTTCACTCAATCATTTCCTTTTGAGAGCTTAAACTGACATCAATTATTGATCATTACACTACTAATTACTTACCAATTTGCATTCTTAATTTGACAAGCGACGAGATTTTGCATACTTACATCGTAACGGCATGTATGTAACTACAGCTTTTGTTAATTTACGCAGGTGTCATCAGTCACTGAGAACGCAGCATTCAAAATTAACCTAAACGGTAGGGATTATGTAGCATCGCGTCCAAGATATTGGACTCCATGCTCATCCTTGATATACTTACCTGCTCATCTTGTCCAAGATCTTGGACTCCATGCTCATCGCTAAACGTCTCACTTCTTTGCTTGAGCATGGAGTCCAAAAGCAAGTAGACCTCCCTTAGTTTTGAAGTTCATGATAGAAAATCGTATACTTCGCTTATCCAATTTAACCTGAACTAAACTAACCTAACCTAACCTAACCTAACCTAACCTAACCTAACCTAACCTAACCTTACCTAACCCAACCTAAGCAATGCACAATTTTTTTCGAGAACACATTCTTTTGTCTTTATTTCACCAAAATTGTCTTAATACATTTTTGGACCCCATGCTCCTATATTGTCGGAGAATACCTGCGTCCCACAATTTTGGACGCTATGCTCACTTCGATTTTTCGAAAAAATTATCCCTAATTAAAGTGAGCATGGAGTCCAAGATCTTGGACGTGATGAGCAACCGAATATCATATAGCTGAGCATGGAGTCCAATATCATGGACGCGATGCTACATTACCG